GTAATTTGGCAATCTTGTACAGAGCTAAATCAAGTTTCTCTATATAATCCCCAAATCACACTTCTATTTATTTACCAATTGCTTGAAAACTCTTGTTTGCACAAGTAAGCCCTTATATGCAAATGACAAGTGGCTTTATTCACAATTGCAAAATAGGAACACAATGCAGATGTTCTTCAGTAAGTGAAGAGATCAATATATGTTGTATACTAATTAACAATAAATGAAACTATTAATTGCGTAGAGAAATAAATGATGATTGTCACATGTATATGGCAAAATAAAAATAGAGGTACAAGATCATATACTACATGATTCCATTTAGATTAAACTTTGGAAGAGACAAATTTATAGAGAAAAGAAACATAACTGTGGTTTCCAAGTCTTTGGTAGAGGGAATTATGCAATTATGGTCCTTGTAACTAGTTACAGTCTTGTGTTCAGCTCTGCAAAGCACCTGCATTTGAAAGCTTTTGTTCTGCAAGCTGTTCAGCAGAGGACTAACAACCTCCAGTTTACTCCTTTCTTCCTGTCCATGTCTCCAGGGGAAGCTGTGTGATTAAAGAACACAGCTCTCTACAGAAAGGAATTTCCCCAATCTTCTTCCTGGGTAATGATCAACACCACTACCACCAACAACACATAGATAGGGCATTATATTTGAACCTATATTGAAAGTTCAACATTCCCTCTTGTTGAATCCTGGGAATAGATAGGGCATTTTATATGAACCTGTTTTGAAAGTTCAAGATTCCTTCCTGTTGATTCCTGGAAATAATGTATCTTTTTTGCCTCTATCAGCAAATTCAGACCAATCTACTTGAGATGCCTTCTACCCTATAACGTCCTCACTGGGAGCTGCTATTGTTTAAGTGTGTAACCCAAAGCTCCTGTGTTGGAACTTTAACTCCTCAGTGCATTATCTGGGCCTACTGGGAGGTCTGTGGATCACAGGGGCAGGGCTGTCCTGAAAGAAAAAATGTCTTTGTGTAAGATCAATGCATGGTTAATACTTCCTTCCCCTTTGTTGTTTTCCACAAGAGCCTACTTACCCTTCCACTTTCTGTTATGAGTTGAAGTTGCATGAGTCCCTAACTGCTGCAGCCATCTGGTCTTGCAATTCCCTGCCTCCAGAAACATTAGCTAAAATAAACCTTTCTCCTTTATAGGTCAATCACCCAGCTTCAGTTATTCTGTTATCGTAGCCAAAAAATGGACTAAGAGTTCTAAGTGATTCAACTTAATTTTACTTAACATTTCCAAAAATATCACTGTCCCTCACTGAACTGACCTGAGGGTATGATGAGAAACACAAACAAACAAAACATATGAAATTATGGCTACTGGAATGGACACTCTGTACATGGTAATTGTGGGGGTAGAGGAAAACCTATGACCTAAGGCGAGAATACCTTAGGCCTCAGAAGGTATGAGAAGGATTATTTATGACATTTCTATTTAATAACTGTTCCAGAAGTCTTCCTCTTGAAGAAAACTTCCCATGCTGATCTCTCAAACTGCTTCACAAGCCTTACGCCTAACTGACTGTTGGGTATGCAATTCCTTGCCAAGGCATCTGTCGGTCTACCAGAGATGACAGGGAGCTACACCAACATATGCCTGGTCCCCCATTCAGCCATCCATACCCAGGCAAAAACACCTCCAGACACCCTCCTTGTTCTATTCAGAGTCACTGAATGCACAGACAATTGTACACAGTTGATGGCTTGAAGAACTAGACAGATTGCATTAAATACATTCAGCTAACGATCCAAAACATGTTACTGAACTGGGGTCCTAACTAAAATGCTCAGCTGGAAAGTGATGTTGGAGGCAATGCTCACCTATAATCTGAATGATTATGTATATTTGCTTCCCTTTCAAACTGTAAACTTTTTCTTTTCACCAGTGGAAATACAAACATGCAGTAGGGCAATTTATGGTGATTTCTCTGGTGACATAGTTTAAGGTAGTTTCTTTCTAATATACATTTTGTTTTTGAAAATATAGAGTACCTGGAGAGAACATTTATATAAAATAAAAATTGGTGAGCCTTTGGGAAATACTGTTCTTGAATCTCATATTCTCAAGAGAATTCTTCATTAACTTTAGATATTTTCATGAGGGTACAGAAAGCATAAACACTTTAAAAAGTCAGGATTGATTGATTTTATATGTTAGTGTGTGTAATCCATAGAAAAGGATTCAGCACACGAATAAGTAAATGACACTAAATGGAGGACTTGCAGTCTAACTGCAATCAATGAGGTAATGAAACCATTTCCAAGAGTGCCACTTACAGGTGAGATAAAAAGAGCCAAAGACTATGGCAGTAGAATGTGACTCATTGAGAGAGAGATGGATTTTATGTGTGCTCAGACCAATGTGATAGTAAAAGAGAAACACTGAGAGCAAGTGATTTTCTCCAGAGAAACATGTGTCTGTATCTCTTTGGGGAAGATACATGATACATATGTTTGTCCCAGATACATGTTTGCACTTTAAACTTTTTTGGGCACGGTGCTTTAAGATGAAAATAAGTAACATTTGTAAAAGTTAAAGATAGTATTTTCTTCTAGATGTTTTATAACTTACATTTGTTCTATTTTTGCCATTAAAGCATTAATCTTTTCTTTCTTCAGCTTCTAGATTTTCATTTAGGGACAAAAGTTGAAAGAAGACCATGGAATCCTAGGATAATTTGGATTTGAAAAGCTTTTCTTTTGTAAATGTATCTGATATTCCATTAGCTAACAAAACTAAACTAATTGGATTCATAGTCCTAACTTCTAACATAAATCTTATTTTTTTACAGTGTAAGTTGGGGGATAGTTGATCTGCAATTGTTATAGTTGAACAAATGAATGTTTGCACATAATAAATTTCTAGTTTATATCCTTTAGATACAGACACTCCGACAATTGTTGTCATTATGGTAGTTTGTGTAAATGAGGCAAATTTTATAACAGATTGCTTCAAAATTATCTGAATTTGAAAGAAATGTCCAATAAAACTTACAGTGATATTTTCACTCATACGTGTCTCATTATTAACATTATTAGTGCACGTGGCCTTAACAACAGAACTTTACCCTTGTCTTTAAAGCAGTCATACATTTGCCCTTGATTTAATTTCTCTTTGAGCTGCCCTCTCTCCTAGGAATATCTCTTCGGATTTCTTTCTCCAAGAACTATTTTATAATCTAAATTTTCTTTTGTAAATTTCTCCAGATATTATTTGAAATAAATCCCCATTCCTTTCCTTCCTTCCTTCCTTCTTTCCTTTCTTCCTTTCTTTCCTCCTTCCTTCTTTCCTTCCTTCTTCTTCTATTTTTTTTAGTACTAGACATCAAGCCCAGGGCCTTCACTCTGAGCTACATCTGTAGAGCCTTTTATTATTTTTTATTTTGACACAGGGTCTCTCCAAGTAACTAAATTGCCAGGCTGGGCTCCGACCTCAGCCTTCCAGAGTGCTGAGATTACAAATGTGTGCCCCATGTCCATACAGTTTATGTGTATGCTTTCTTAATAATAATATATGTTTTGAAGGTTACAAACAATTATGTCGATATCTCCAAGGTAGAAATCATTGTCCTATAATGCCAAGCCCATCATGAAACCATAATTATTTTGTGTTTGATGACGAAGATAACAAGATAGGAAATTGTCTACAGAGATATCATTAATCTTAATATGACATCTGCGGTGTACTTGCAGTGCAAACTTAAATAATTTTTACTAATTTTGCTGCCTCACTGTGTACGGAATATGAAGAAGAATTACCTATTTGTTAGTATCTTAATATCTTTTTAAACATGTTAGCTGGACATTTGAATGTCCTTAGGGTAGGAAAAAGATGCCCATTTAAATTTGTGTGAATACTATTCTATGATTCATCATGCTTTTCAAATCTGCCAAATACTCATTTTTAGCCAGTGAATTAGAAATAGTTCATGCTTCAATATCTATAGATAACAAACCAAAAGATAACTAAAAGAACTAGAAGCATACTGAAAGAAAATTTAATATTGAACATTTTCCCCCTTATAATATTTACTTACTGATTTATGTATGTTTAAGCTTACTTAAACTTTTTCATTAAGCTCATCCTACCTCTGAAAGTCCTATATATATATATATGTATACCTATATATTTATTATATATATACATATATATTTCTATATATTTATAACATATACATTTAATATGTATGTATTTCTCTTTGTTTCTGCACCCTTTATCACACTATTCCCTTTACTTAGTCCATTCTCACAACTACCACCTTGGAAGAAAACTCCAGTAGCTCACTGCACCCATTGACATTATCAGACTCTTCTTTTACATTTGGTGCTGTGGCACAGCGGGGAAGAAGGGATATGACAACAGAGATTGAACAAGTGGAAATACTGTAAGAAGAATAAATGAAATGATAGCCAATGCTTGATTTTCACTTATCTGAAATTCAATCTCAGCCATGAAAGTAAATGAGTCAGAAATCAGGCATTTGAGTTTAAAGAGTTGACTAAAATGACAAAGGTGTTCTACCTGGTGTATCAAGCAGGGACATGTGTGTGTGCCTGCGCATTTGCTGTTTTCTCAGTGTACAATATGGACTGATGGGAATCCAATAAGAGCTGTACCTGTTTTAATACAAATTTCTTTGGTTTTATTCAATTAAAGAAGTTAGTTAAAGAAAATGATATAGCAAGTCTGTGCTTAAATGCATTCTCTTGTTTTTAATTTACTTTAATTTCTCTCTAGTGTGGTCATTAAAGGGGAACAATTACTGACATCATAGAGATTATTCTCCAGTAGAATTGCAAAGTAATGTTTTAAGCCTTTGTCTCGAGTCTTTGAAAACACAAGCAGAAGTCCTGAAGCATCTCTGTCACTGTTAAGATTAGATTCGACACTAGTTATCACTGTTCTTTTTCTGTAGAGTTTTCCATTATTTATTTATTTATTTTTCTATTCAGACCTGGTAAATTCAGAGTACCCTAATGGGAAACCATACGACAGTGACAGTGTTCATCTTAGCAGGCTTGACTGATGACCCGGAATTAAAAGTGGTGTTATTTGTCTTCTTGCTTCTCACCTATTTGCTAAGCATCACAGGTAATCTGATAATCATCACACTCACACTGGTAGATACTCACCTTAAGACTCCCATGTACTTTTTCCTTCGGAATTTTTCTTTTTTAGAAATTTCTTATACCACTACGTGCATCCCTAAATTGCTAATTATTATGGCAACGGGGGACAAAACTATTTCCTACACCTGTTGTGTTACTCAAGTGTTTTTTGCCTTCCTGCTTGGAGCATCAGAGTTTTACTTGCTGGCAGCCATGTCCTATGACCGCTACGTTGCCATCTGTAAGCCCCTGCATTATACAACCATCATGAGCACCAAGATCTGCCTACAGCTTGTCCTCAGTTGTTGGCTTGCTGGCTTTTTCGTCATCTTTCCACCACTGCTCTTAGGCTTAAATCTTGAATTCTGTGCCTCCAACATTGTGGATCATTTCTACTGTGACACCACTCCCCTCCTGCAGATCTCCTGCACAGACACTCACCTGCTGGAGATGATGGGGTTTGTCTCAGCTTTGGTGACTCTCTTGGTCACACTGGTAATGGTGGTAATATCCTACGCGTGTATTGCCCTAACAATTCTAAAAATCCCTTCAGCGGGTCAGCGGAAAAAGGCTTTTTCCACGTGTTCTTCTCACATGATCGTGATATCCCTCTCCTATGGCAGCTGCATCTTCATATATGTGAAACCATCAGTCAAACAAAGAATATCTTTTTCCAAAGGAATTTCAGTCCTCAATACCTCAGTTGCTCCACTTTTGAACCCTTTCATCTATACCTTGCGAAATCAACAAGTGAAAAAAGCCTTTCTTAATATGATACACAGGATGGTCAGTTTCTCAAGTAAATGAATATTCTATTCCATTATATAAAGGAAATGAACAATGAAGTCTCAGTAATAGTAATAGTAACAGTTTCCATGACATACTTTCCTCCTTTTCCTTTTTTCTTTCACTGCTCTGACAGTTTGATATTCATCTTTGAATCATGTCAAACTATCCTTTTTACAAGAATATTCAGTCTAATGAAGATAATTTTCTTTTTATTTTTCATTACATGTTTCTCCCCCATCATGTTCTTTATCCTGTTGACATCTTAATATCTTTAGGCTAAGTTTTCAGTATGTGTCTTTTGTCATTTAAAAGTTCTAGTTAGCCATGATTATAAAATAATTTTATTTGAAATATATTTTATATATCATTCAAAGTTATACTACCCTATGTTTGTGGTGCATTGCAAATGTAAAGGTAATGTTTAGATATTTTATTTTATTTTATTTGTTTTTCATGGAGGTATCATGGATCAAGCTCAGGACCTTGTGCTTGTGAGGCAGGCACAGCACCACTAAGCTAAATCCCTGGCCCATCTATATTTTAATTATATCGTCTATGTCAGTGGTAGTGAACCTATGGCATGTGTGTGACAATGGGCTCTTTGTATCATTTAAAGCTCTGAAATGTTCACCATCACTGGCTTATTTATTTGTGTATATTACATTTAAAGAAATGAAAATAATGTGTAATAAAATGTAACCATCATTTTTGCTGCTCATATTTGAAAATATGTATTAAACATATATTATTGGTGGTTTTCAAGTGTTATTCATGGGAAATAGTCATTTATTTTATATGTGATAGAAGTACATTGCAAATAATCATGTTTGAAAGAAAATGTGTTGATCTTATTGGTTTATTTTGAAAATTAAAAATGAAATGAAATAATTAATGTTCTTATATCCCAGAAATTCCCTTTGATAACCTCAGAACACTCCTGAAACTAACTGGAAACAATTTGTGAATGGTTATTAGAAAAAAAATACTAAGTCATTATATTTATTCTTTTCAAAAATCATTTATCTGGTACCCAAATGAGATCTCTGTTTGTATTACATATATTTCTATGTATATATAAGTATGTGTAGGGATATAAATTTATAGATATACCTAATAGTGAAACCAGGAAAATAGAAGAATCATTTAGAAGATTCTCTAGCAGTATGTCAGCATTAATTTTTGTGCAATGATAAGAATATAAAATTTAAATATAATAAAAATATTTTGGCCATTATACATGCTATTTCATGAATGTTTATCAATAAATATATATATTAGACCATGTTACTATTTTTTCCATTTCTTGGATCATGAAATATTGATTGAAAGAATGTATGCTAAAAAATTAGTGCTTAAAGGGATAGAATAAAATATAACCAAAGGAAAAAATACCTGTTGTATATAACTTGAAAATTACATGTTTCAGGACAATTGAGTTTAAAATATTTTAAGTAAAAGGGTTTTTAAAGAATTGATAATATCTTTTCTTGTCATTCAGGTATACATATCTTTTGGCTATTTCTTTTTTTTAGGCAAGGTCTCACTATGTAGTTCAGTGGCTGGCTTTGAACTCACAGCAATCCTCCTGGCTCAGTCTCCTGAGTGCTGGGATTACAGGCCTGGGACAGCACGCCTGGCATCGTTTTGCATTTTGATAGAGTACACCTATGATGCTACTGCATTATCTAAATTTTAGAAATGTTACCAGAACAGAAAGTGAAAAAAAAAAAAATAAAGATATAGCATTGTGAGCCAATGTAATAAAAGTAAAACGTAAGGTTCTCTATAGGCTGATTAGTTATGATTCTGTGAGGTGTATACAATCTCAATGTGTTTAAAAAATACCACTCATGTTAAATCTCTTAGTTTGACTATCAATGAGTTATTCTGAAATAGTTTTTATGTTAGTAAGCTTGTCTTGGGCTCTTCAAGTACCCAGTTCAAGTACTATGTTTCTTAAGAACATTGCATTTCATTTTAAGGCAGTTAATTCTGTGTGGTACTTCATGCAAACACTGTACACTTTTTTAGTAACACAGTGGCACCTATCCTACAAAAATGATTTTGACTTGCCTGTTGATTTGCCATGAAAAGTTTGAAAATAATATCTAATAGATACACCACTCCCATTCGGATGACATGTACTGACATGGTTTGTTCACTCATTAACTCAATTTTCCAGAACTGAAATAAAATATCTAGGATTGAAAAACCTTTATTTGTTAGTAAAAAGAACATTATCAGATGTACATATTTTGTCTCAAGATACATATTTCAGATTTTTGTCCACAAGCCAGTAATACAAAATTATTTCTCCTCTAAATAAAAATGTATATCTTAAATTAAATGGACATATAGCTCCAATATTTGTATTAAGTCAAGAATAAATTTGAATCATGTTAGCACTAGCCTATCCTTAGACTCTTTAAAAGGTATGGATTATGCTTAAATAAAACAAGTTCTTGGCAGAAGCATATTTTTGAACAATTGGAAATATGCTTTCCTAAATTTTATAATATATTTCCTGAGCTTACCGGTCTCTTTCTCAAATATAGCAAATTTCCTACATTCAGATATTGGAACAAATCTATATTTGTTTTCTAAAGTTGGTCATAATTTTAAAACCTTAGTTATGGATGCCCTCTTTTCTTTATTTACTTAGATTATTTAAAAATAACTACTGCAGACTTAAACAGGACCGATCCTTTCCAGACTCAAAACGCAGGCGGTAGTGCGTTCTGTGCCTGGGCGGGCACGGGGTTGGTGGCCGGAGAGGTAGTGGTGGATGCGCTGCCCTATTTTGATCAAGGCTATGAGGCGCCAGGCGTGCGGGAAGCGTCTGCGGCTCTGGTAGAAGAGGAAACTCGCAGACACCGACCTACCAAGAACTACCTGAGCTACTTTAACAGCCCCAGATTTTTCTGCTTCGAAACTGACATAATGAGAAATGCATTTGAAAGACTGGCTGCTCGACAACCAATTGAATTGCTCAATATGAAACGATATGAGCTTCCAGCCCCTTCCTCAGGTCAGAAAAATGACATTACTGCATGGCAAGAATGTGTAAACAATTCTTTGGCCCAATTAGAGCACCAAGCAGTACGAATTGAGAATCTGGAGCTAATGTCACAGCATGGATGTAATGCCTGGAAAGTATATAACGAAAATCTAGTTCATATGATTGAACATGCACAGAAAGAGCTTCAGAAGTTAAGGAAACATATTCAAGATTTAAA